AGAGAGGTAAATTTATCTGCTAGGTGTTCTCAACGGTATAGAGTATTTTCTAGGTTTCTGGCGCGCGGGGGGAGACGGGTCAACACAAACGCGGTATCGTAAAACGTCTCTTGCACGAGTTTTACTGCAATCCAGGAGGGGTGTAACGCCCACCAGGGTTTTTTCACTCAGCCCTCTCACTCGTGTATTCTTTCTTCTAACGCCCGGTTCTATCTCTCGCTAAAGAGATTAACTTGAATACCTCACCCTCGACGATGAAACGACCTAGTGATAATTCACGGGGGACAATAAATGGGAAATTTTGATGTTTTGGGTTTTTAATGTTTCAGTTATGATTTTTATTTTTTTTCATGGGAATTCGTAGAAACAACACGTAAAGTATTTTTTAAATTTTCCCTTAGATTTTAGAATAATTGATTGATCGAACGAAAATTTATCCAATGAGATCGTTTTGTCGACAAACAATCAATTGTATTTACTCGGATAAAACTACAATGGGAATGTGTTCCCTGACTTGTGCTAGATTCTTGATAAAGATCTATGATGGAAAAGAGGGAGTCGACGCGAGGGTATCTATGTTTATTGGCTCGACACTGGACAAAGGAAGAATGAGCTTTATTCCAATATTCCACTTTGTACCGATCTTTGCCTCCCGGGAATGTAAATGAAAGGGAAGAATACATATATGTATTTCTCGTACCAATCTGAATGAAATTTCATGTTTCATGTCTACAGTGAATCAATATTTCATAAGACCAGACGAACGGATGAAATAGGGAACGAGATAAAGTACATATTCGCACTTGAGAATTACTTATTTTTTAGAATAAATTATAGGGGAGGATGGGGCAAAACGGCCCCCCTTCAATCGTCAATATTTTCCGATTCAATAATCCGATTGGGATGAGTTAGAGCTCGTTTTGAAGAATGAAAAATTATCTTCAAAATGAAGTTGAAACTGGGAATTTTCACAATGTCATTCACAAGTTATTGACAATTGAAGGGGGGCCGTTTTGCCCCACCCTCCCCTACGAAGTTATAACTCTGCCCTTGTAATTTTGTTTCCGATACAAAAAATTAAAATAAAGGACAATTTGAAGAGAATGAGTTTATTTTTCTTGATTTCAAGTATCATGTCCGTGAGAAATTAAATTGAAAAACCCTAAATAACCGTGAAATTGACCCTAAAAAATCCGGAATGATAGCCTGGAATTTCATTAAACATTTAATTTACCGCGGAAGCCCCGTCAACGCGTCCACTTTTATTTAATTTCGTTCCACTCGTTGGCGCAATTAATGTCTACGAACATGAAAGAAAAAAGGAACAATGAAATTAAGAAGATAGAATGAGAAATTCAAGATGCGAACAAGTTGAATTTTATTTCACCCACGAATGAAAAGAAGCACCTCAAAAGCTCCCTCAATCTTCTCCGGAAAGTTCGATTGCCGAAGAAAACTGACTCGTGAAACAACTCCATTTCCCCACTCCCTTTTTTCACCCTTAACCTCTCCTCCCTAATCTATTTCCTTGTTTCGCATTGTCTCACTCCAGTCCTGTATTCCAGGGCATCTGGTGCGGACGGATAATTGCAGGACGAGAATTAACACTCGTTGCGAGTACATTTGTATTTATTCAGCCCCGTTCGTCGGATTATTTTTGTTTCGAAACCGTTCAATCAATTGACTGTACAGCTGAAGATCTCATAACGATGTGTAACGGTTTGAGTCAATGCATTCATCAATAAATACAACAGCACGTAAATACCACCGCAATTGTGTGACAATCAATTACACTGTAAATAGTGCTGATTCTACTGATTGACATGAAACAAGAAAATGGTGAATGACAATTTTTTGGGGAAAAAAGCCAATTCGTCCAGTATTGGCAAAGAGAAAATACGTTACTTACACGAAACGAATTTGTTTGAGGCAAAAGTTTAAATGGAGATATTTTGTTTACCTCAATTTCGTTTGTTTGTTTATTCTTTCAATTAAAATTGCTTGATTTTTCAATAAATATCTGAACGCATGCAAGTATGCAAAGTAATTCCATCTCCAATTTTACATTCGCCCCCACATTTTTCTCCACGTCCCGCTGTGGTCTGAAGATGAAAGCTGCACAGTCAGCTCGAAAAAAGGAATATAATTCCGAAATATACGTTTGTGAGGATAACACACTGTCTCCTGCCTCAAAGGCATCAATAACTAAATGCCGATGAAGGTAAATCCACTTTTTATTGGAGAAAATTTTCAAAGAGTCCACCCATCCGGTGGAAATGTGTACGATTGTCCGAATGTGAATGAAAGAAACATGAAGATGGAAAAAGCACTGGCAAAAGAGAATTTCCGCCCAAACCTGGGAATCTGTGTTGTGCTTCGGGCGTTTCCAGGTTTATATGCCTCTCGGACGACGTCATATTTTCATAAAAGAATTAAAAAAGAATGAACACACCAGGAATTTCAAAAAAAGTTATTGATCAACGAGACAATCGAGGAATGTCACTGAAATTTTCAAATAATTTATCAGAAAGAAGCTTCCAATAAACGGAAATTGGAAAATTTCCTCTTTTTACAACTTAATTGACACAAAACGTGATAAAAAAAGGAAAATCAAGTGTTTGACAAGTGCTGTAACGCAGCGGATATTACCACCCGTCATTTCCTGTCTTCCAGACTATCTGTCGGAAGTATTGTCGCCTCCGATTATAGCGAACTGCTGCCTGCAAACAGTTGACAATTGAGTTCTAATAAGAGTATGAGAGATATTGGACGAGAGTGGTGGCATTAAAACCCGTCCTAACAAAGACTATAATAACTCAAAGACGGTTGGAAAATCGTTAATATTAGGAGGAAAATATGATCGCTGACATAAACCGCATCGAAGGCCACTGGAAGAGAAATGTAAACATCGTTAACTCATCGTTAATTGTTTTTAAATCGTAATTTAATTACAGAAATCGGAAAAATCAACAACACACGATGATTTTGTTTTTTCATTCTTGTGGTTTGGAATTAATTGGACATGATTAAACTATATTAGGAGATTAAATACTAGTGACAAAGGAGAATTATTAATACAAGTTTAAAACAATGAAAAAAATTTTTGTCTTTTTGTTCTTTTTACTTCAAAATGGAACCGATTTTATTATCTGATTAAAATTTTGTTTTTCAATTCGTGAATCATGTTCACGATTCACATTAAAAATTTCCTGCTCTCTTTATTTGAATTGAATGAACGTCATTTGAATCAAATCAATTCTCTATTAGAATCAAACAAACGATGTATTTGCTCTAAATAAAGTTCATTTAATTCAAATAAACCATTTTCCAGCGTGTCCAAGAGGGAAATTGCTAGAGCTACACTGCACAGTACAAATATACGGAAAACCGAAACAAAGCGTGAAAAAATTCTCCTCGTAGTCGACATCTACATCTGTTTCATTCGAAAATAACAAAAAGAATGGAAGCAAAAAATGAAGGGAGCATACAGGAAAAATGGTGGATGAGCACGAATCAAAATGTAGAGAGGAGAATCTGACAAACTATTCTTTACGAATTCATTTCGACAGGTATAATCTTGAATCACATCTACAAATATGACACTTTTTTGCATGGAAAAATTTGAAATTCCAATTTCCTGCGAATGAAAAATGGGGGAAGAAAATAGAGAGAAAATGACGAAATCAGTGAATAAAAAGAATGTTGAAACAAGCTCATTCTAAATTGCAAATAATTTTGCGAATATCCTCGTTAGGACTGAGAAGCCAACGTGAAAATCCTAAACAATTGAATTATTGATTTCCATCGTCCGACATTCATGAATTATTTCGAGGATCCTTTGCCTAAATTCCCCGCAGCTCCTAACGACTTTGAAGGCCATCAATCACCATCAAAGACAAATCGACAGACATGCCCTCAGTTGGAGATAGCCTGGTGTGAAATTTTCGCGAAAGTTTCTGTGTAAAATTAAATTAAAGCGTCAACGCAATGAAACCACCGGAGAGAGCGAAAAAAGGAAAACAAAAAGAGGAAAGGCATTCGCGTAGCGAACGATCGATGCCCATTGCCCATGCCATACGCAGATATTTTCTCGCGAGCTGCTGATAGCGCGAGTGGTTGGGATTCACTCCTACAATGAATCGCTATTAGTCATCATCCCAATTCCATAATATTACAGAACGGGGGATTGCCTTTTCTCCAGTTGGAGATGGAGAACGCAGTTCATCCGCAATAACTCCCGTTTCTCTGGTCTTCAAGCGCAATAATCTTCATCTACATTTAGTAATTGCACCGTTTGATCGTTAACTACAGCAGTTGACCAAGTTTTATGGGTTTATTCAATTCCACTATTTTTAATTATTTTCCATGTGCTAATGTCGTGAAAAAGACATAATATTCCATTAAAAAGCCATTTCTATTTCCATTAAAAATGTATTTTTCTTCGTAAACTTGAAAGTAACTCTCTAATAAAAAAAATGGAAAATAATATTTTTCATTTTTTTTATTGAACGATGATAACAAAAAAAACAAAATAAATCATGAAAAAAATAATACATTGATCAATTTATTGCCGTTTCAAATGAAATGAAAATAATTGAATTTTTCCTCTGTATTTTTTTTCATTTCTTTTGACACAAACACGTTGTTGCACCAACGAGATGGGATGGGTCGTTTCTATTTCAACTATCAACCTTCCAACCATCTCGTAACCGGGGTTGCCTCTTCGCCGTTACAATACAAGTGGTATCAGCAATACATGGTCAGACCAGCATCGTTTATGCTGCGATTTAATCCGATCAATTAAAACGCCTGATTATTCTACTGCATAAATGCATAGAGAAAGGGGAAGAGACAGTGGTGGGAAATGGCCGAGGGTTGGCCAAACCCAGATTACCCATTTCCGCAATTAAAATTATTTTCCCAGGGTTGAAACTATTCGGTAACACAATACGAATCACCGCAAAATGCCCAATTCTATCAGAAAAAATATCTCTACTCACCGGGTGACAGTTGGATTCACTCCAAGTACAACAATTTTTACTCAAAACTCCGTTGAACAAATTAAAAATGTTTTTCTTTCCTCGTGTCCGGGTGGAAACATTGCGAATCACTGTGGTTTGGGTAATATTGCTCGAATTATTTTCTCAGGCTTGTATTCTTTTTCTTGTACTCAGGGTAGTGGTCTAACGGACGAGGAAGGATTCACGTGACGAACAAAACTGTACGCGCGCCTCAGCGATACTGGCCAACTCACGAATCCCGCGTCGGGACGCTCGAGCGCACCGCGCGTACTCGAGACACCCGCCTATCAGAATACGATCGCTCATGTGGCCCGCGATCTACGAAAATCCATCAAGGGCTAGGCTGTCGCGCACACCCACGCCGAAGCTTTTATCTGAATGGCAATCTTTGTTTAAAAAAAACGCGACATTACTGCCATTTGTTTATTGAATTTTCAATAAATCTGGTGAAGGCCAGCAGTTTCTGTGAATCGCTAAAATCGTTAAAAAAATTCGGTAGCAAAGTGGTCAAAGGGTTTAAGTCGACTGACCTCCCGGTTGAGTTTTGGAGGAATATTTCCGCATCTAAGGGATTTTAATCATTTAATTTTAAATATATTTAAATATTCAATTTTTCATTTTCATCGATTTTTAAATCTGTAATACTTGATACTCTCGTTTTTTTGCAACGAAGCTGTCGGGAAGTACTCGAGCATCTTAAAGCTCTTGGAGTCCTACTATTGAAACAATTATGACAGGCACAAATACATTCATCGACTTTCTCTCTAAAATGTCAATTATAGATTGAAACGTGACTATTCCCGCTGTATACGACATTTCCATTTGTTCTTCCAGTCACTGTGCTACATACCCTGAATCATTCCATTCCGACTCCCTGCGTCTCCCTCCCTTTTATTATTAAGTTTTAAAAAAAGGAAAAAAATCGGTGAAAGTGGGGAAGGAGAATGGGAGAGAATTCTAATTGCAGAAGCTTTTGTTTCAGGGAAATTGCGGTGCCACTGTGGGCGATTCAAATTTCGACATTTCCCAGGGGGGATTAAATTAATGGTCATTTTCTCGCGATGGGATCAGGAACCCCAATCATTACAATTTCTATCCGCAGATAACGATGGAATAAGACAAAATGTTTCATAAATATTTGGAAAATTTTCTCGTATTTAAAAAAAGTGCAATTGTCGACGATTGTTTATTCTTATTTTCTTTCATTATTTGGCAATCATCACACCGAATAATTTGGAGCGGATGAAAACTGGAGGAAATGATATTTCAACTTTTTAGAATATAAAAAGAAAAACGGTACGATGCAATTAAGAACATTTTTGTATTTCATACTACGAACAAGTGAATGACATTGATGCTGGCAGTTAATTTCAGTCACTACTCTCGGCGGGTACTCCACGGGGTTTGTGCATGTTTTTATTTGGTCATTATTCAATAGAAGGTCGTCCACTCGTCGACGACCGCCGTCAATTTGAGACTCCGGATAATCAACAACTCCACTTCCGCTTTTTTTTCAGGTCACCAATTTCTCATTCCTTACAACTCCAATTTCTACAGTTGAACGAGGGAGTTGATTATGGATTTTTTCAAGCAACTATTTCACAAATTGAACATTTCCTTTCCTAATCGGGGACATGTCGTCTTTCCCTCGAGAGTTTGATGTGATTGCAAATTGCGAGCTCTGAAATATGAACGGAAGTTTCGTCTTCAATGTCATTGAGTTCTCAAGAGAAGGGGAATGTTTTTTGAAATTACGAGTAATACTCTTGAGATGAGGGGATTTTTACCCTTGTCAATGGAAAATCGACAGAGATGTTGATTTTTCATTAAACGATGAAACTCAAAGGCTTTTATTATGAGCTGATCCCGGGGCTTATCCATCACCGCAGTCCAACGCTGCCAGCCCTCAGATATCGTTTCATCTGTCTTGACAAAACCTACGAAAAGAGTATGTGAAAGTAAACGACAACCTCTCGGATAAAATCTCCAATCTCCAGGCGTAATAACTCGAGAATTATGCGCCCCCTTTCGACATTTCTCATTTTCCATTTTCTTTATTTCCTTCATCCACTTGTGTCATTCCCACCCACTACTCACCACTCTCATCACTCCCTTCCTTCCAACGGGGCGGGTTTTTTTTTTCAATTTTCCACGTATTCAGTGGGACTCGGATAATGATAAGCGAATCAGGAAACGAGTGGACCCCAACGAGATTTCAATCATCCTGAAAAAGAGCACGTGGGTGGACGGAAATAACTGGAAAAGTTTTTTGCCAATTACTTGTGCCCGGAAGAGATTTTCACAAATTAAAGCTCTCGTCAATTGGATTCTAACGGAATATTCTGTTTTTTATCATTAGCGACATTTTTCAATTGCATTTCAATTCATCTAATGAGTAATAAATCTACAGAGACCAAGAGGATGAATCAAAATTGCATTTGACGGGAGGAAATTTAGAAAAAATAGGAAAAAAGCTTTGTGACATTTTCCCGCGAACAAAAACGAGAAATTAAAAAATAGGGATATTTATGAGCTTCTAAGAGGAAAAACCTGTCAAATTTCGGATGTTCAAAAAATGGATTAACGCCCATGAAGCATGACGAGTAGAAAACGCATCGGTGTGTGTTACCTCCCCACCACGGATTCTCACGCTCAAGAAAAACATTGATCCACCCTCACGGAGATTAATATCTAGTCAAAGGGATGACTAAAACCCTGTAATTATTCCAGCGCTAAAAATAAAAGCGGAGCTGCGAGCCCCCGTTGGTTTCGATTGAATCAACAGTGTCAAAAGGCCTTATTAATTTGAATCACCTCGAGGAAAACGACATCATTAATCCCCAATTAGCAGACCTGCCCAATATATTTGAATATCAAAAATTTATCTCGAGACACATCAGTGATCAGTAGGAAATGAGGGACAACAGAATGAGCCCCGACTGACATATTCTCACGGAAGGAAAATTTTTTCCAGAAGGAATAACACTAGAGTGATACATTGTGTATCTAAATGTTCCGGGCTGGCAGCTGTCCAGGAGGAGGGATTACACGTCAAATCGCCAGATACAAACAACCCCCTCCTCACTGTAAACTGTTTACAAGTTGCACGCGCCACTTGCATAATTCATGCAAACCAGCTTCAAAATTTACGGTTTAAGCGTCAACCCCATCAAAGGGAAATCCACTGATATTAGTGATTCCCACAACTGCCGCAAGACACTTCTGCATTACTTGGAAAATCGATTTAAACGTAGAAATTAATCACTTCTCATTCACTGTAGGAAGTTCCGAACGAGCTTCGAAATGGTTGGAGATCAGAGCACTGAGAGGACTTTAATTGATTCAATTACGAGAATCTATTCTACGGAGGAAGATTCTCTCCGGGAGAATGTACGTGACGATGGATTGATATGGCTCAACCGACTTGACACGCTCTGACAGATTTTTTTTTCTGTCTCAATATTGAGGGCACTTGCAGATTTTTGTGTAGTGGAAAAATGAAATGGTTGATAGCGATTTTTGGGAGGGAAAATTAATCTTTTTTCTTGATTCGTTTTTTGCCCTTTCTTTTATGCTAACGAGGTGAAGTTAAGGGACCGTTGAAATATCCTTGTTTTATATCATGCATCATGAATTTAAGTGATGCATCCTAATTATCCGAGTACTCATTTCAAAGAGTTGCAGAATATTCTCAAAAATGGAATATTTTAAAAATTATTCAAGATGCTTCTCATTACTCACCCCTCGCCGTCTAATCATCCGAATCAGCCCTAAAAATCCACGTCCCTCATTTAATATCACTCATCACGCACAGCTTTGTCACCTCTCTTGTTACGTGCCTCAGTAATTATCGAATCATTGTTAATTTTACGGGGTAGCTTTGGTATTGTCTACCACATGCAGCAGTCGACACGAAGCCCTTGACATGACTCCCCCACCCGAGGGTATACTAATCAAAAATAATGGAATTAACACAAAACCGTTATTAAGATCACAGAGGGAATGTTTACCCACCGCAGGCAATTCTACGCAACCCTGCATTCGATAATTCGAACAACGAGTCATTATCTTATTATTTTTATTTTCATTATCATTTACATTTTTTTAATTCAGAGGACGAGCCGAAATAACTTATTGGATGCATGGGCATGAGGGTAAAGGAATAACTCAAATATTTATCTTGTGGTAGCCACCACTAAATCATAAAATCCCTACTCTGCACTTCCGTAATGAAACGACAAATATGAAGAAGAAAAACATGAAAACGAAAATTGTTCCTCTCCTGTGACCAGTTTCCTGGACATTCAGTTGGACTGGGAATGCATGCCGACAGTGAGGGCTGTTCGAGGGGTTTGAAATCGATCTCATCGACAGCTCGAGTGCGACGAGCAAGACGACATAGAGAAGGGACGAGGAATGTCGTGTAACGCCTTCTCCTGGGGGCAATGAGTGCGCGAACTCAAAGCGACTTAATTTTAAAAGGAGGCCCGTAAGGCGGATACAGTGAATTAAGAAAATGGAGAACATTTTTATTAATATAAAAAAAATACAGCATTCGCAATGATCAAATAAATTTACAATTAAAAATGAAACGGATTTAATTCATTTCCTCCTCGATTTCTTCCGAGGGAGTGAAGTACATGGAGTCGATGAAGGACCTCGTTAAATCCTCCACCACAGTCCGGTCGGCGATGGTCTGACTCATTCCATACATCGCGAACTAAGATTAAACAAATAATAAATATTTGACTCGAGAGATGATTTGATAACTATCAGAAGTTCAATAAAGATTCATATTGTTAAAAAAGGTAACTACCATTCCTTCAACGGGCTCCTCAGGATGCTTCTTAATCTCCACGAGAATATTTCTCACGTCATGTAAAAATTCATCAGCAATGCCGGCCTGAGTATGAACATGAGTAACACAAATGTGAATAGCACTGGGAAACTGGAGGACATTGAGGTTCCATCCCCTGGTGTTGAGACCCTCAGAGAGTCGATAAATGTGGAATTGATGAGAGCCAAGGGCGATAACAGAGGTAGCTGGAGTACCAAAGATGAATATCCCATCCATTTTTCTCAGTCTGAAAATTAATTAAATAATTGAAAGGCGATCACTAGATATCCAGGAATGAGGGCAGTTCAAGGGATGCATTATTGACGCACTCGGTTTCTATATATCTCGTGGTTTCAATTATTTTTTTCGTCGACTCCAAGTAGCCACTGTACCCAAAGTGCATGAGTGAAGCCCAACAGGCAGCGATTATTCCACCAGTTCGTGAGCCATTGACAGTTGGTGAACCGTAAATACCGCCTGGCCAGTCTGTTGTGATAGTGAACTGATAGTGCCGGTATTTTTTATCTCTGTAGAGGATTACCGATGAACCTTTTGGTGCATATCCATACTACGAAAATGAGAATTATTTTGAAATTCAATAACGAAATGTAAATGCATTGAAAAAGTTTCAGTTTTATTTTCAGAATTACCTCCCTGAATATTTAATGTTTTTGCAATGTTTTCCTGAGTTCAAAGACAAGTTTAAGCTAAAAATAATTCAACTACTTGATAAATAATCTCATAAACTGATATTTAAGCACCTTATGCGTGTCTGCTGAGATGCTAGTCACTCCCGGCAACTTGAAGTCAAACATTGGCACACTGAAGCCAGCATCAGGCATAAAACAGAGTAAAAATCCACCCAGGCATGCATCAACATGCACTGGGACATTATACTTGACTCCCAGCTCTGAGATCGCCTCAATATTGTCAAAAGTGCCATAAGGAAAATTTGGAGTTGAGCCAACGAGCTAAAAAAAATAAAATCATAAAATCTCTTTTATCGCAACAATGTTTTTTTAAGATCCTGATATCTTACCATAATTGTGTTCTTATTTATAGCCCTCTCCATATCATTGATCTTGACAGTACAACTGTTTGGATTCATCGGCACTGTCCGAACCCTGATATTCAAGTATTGAGCAGCTTTGTCGAAAGCAGAGTGAACAGTCGATGGGACCACCATTTCAGGATTTTTAATTCCCTTAACATCTTTTGCGTAATCTCTGTAAGCCTTACAGGCTAATAAAATAGATTCCGTCCCTCCAGTTGTCATCTGAAACGATAAAATGTGCCTATTGTCGACAAAAAACATCCCCGAGAGTGAGGATTACTACAAATTTCAATAATTTAATTTAATTTTTTGAAAATTTAATTAAATTCAAGTGATTTAAGTAAATTTAAGTTGAAACACCATCTCCACTTTCTATTTTCTCCTATTTATTCAAAAGTAGAATAAACTCACAGTTCCACAAGACGCCTCATCTCCATGAAACAATTTGCATGAGATCCTCACAACCTCAGCCTCCATTTTGCAGACACCAGGAAATATATCTGGATGCAGTGGATTCGTATACGAGGCAATTCCATAAACCTCGGACAGCAATTTAATGAGCTTCTCGTCGTATCTGTAAACAGCGCCTGACACTTTGCCATTCTGCCAGTCAAATTCACCTGAAAGACACGGAATTTTGCTTCACCTTCTGTGAATCACAAAAATTATGTTAAAAATGCGGAAAATATTGAGTTACCCAATTCAATGTACTTCCTAACTTCTCCAAGGACCTGCTCGTGAGCCAAACCATTGAGCGGCAGTTTGGTGACAAAGTCAACGTCCTTCACTCTCTCCAAGGACTCCCTCTCAAATGTGCAATTCAACGTATCCAATTCATTCTGTATTTTCTCGCGAACTGACGGAAGGCATCTGACTAATCTGAATATCTTTTTTTTTCCTCGCTCGACGAGACTCTCGTCCTGGTGCAAAAAGTTCCACAGCCAGACTGCACTCAAGACTGACCCTGTCGTTATTGTGACAATTTTCCAGGGCTCCTGGTCTTTGAATGTGTCGTTTACAAATCCTTTCACAGTATCCATCGCCGATTTATGTGTATTCTCTTCAGTAGTTTTGGTTTGAATGAGTTGAATTATATTATTTTAGGAATTTCGTCGATATTTCCTTGTAAAATCGCAAAGTTCCAAGACTACTCTACTCTGAATTGTGGAAGAAGTTAAAAATTGACGCTAAAAATTGTTACATAACAATGAAATGCTAAGCAGTCCACTCCTATCTCACTGTTATCACTCAACAACAGATAATGAAAAAATACTTGATGGCGCAAAAAACACTGATTTTTATCGAGACAATAATACGATTTAATCGGTAACAATTTAAAGATTTTTAACTTGATGAACTGAATTGAAAGATAACACTTTGCAGGTGTGAACTATCACGAATTTGGAAATTTGTGGCTCTTGTGGGTTGTTAATCAGTATTTTTTCCCACAATTTGTGAGCTTGACTTATTAAGTTATTTTAATTTGAATTTCAACCTCGATGAGACAAAATATTTCACTTCAAATTCATTATTGACTTGAATTTCCAAGAATTACTTGTTTTTTAATATTTAATTCAGAAGAAAGGAAAAGGTAAATGATTCTCTCACCTGCAAATGACGAGGTCCGTCAATTTGTGCGTCTGCGAGCGAAATTCGAATTTCACAACAATGCTCAAGTAAAAATAAACGATAACAGGTGTTCTCGGAACGGTCAGCAATTGGCGTATGACTATACGTACTGGCGGTGACCTAGAGACCAACAGCTGATTTACACGAGAGAGACAGGGAGAGTCTGGCAGGTACTGCCGCCAGAATTGTGTGTGGAGAGCGGCGCGAACACTGTTTGAATTCTCCGCGGGAATGGCATTTTTGAATAATTAATTAATAATGATAGGAATAGATGACAGAAATTCCACGGGGACATTGAAAATGTCACGATCGTAGGCAAGATTCCAATTGGTATACTATCCGAGTCAATCACCGCAATTTATTTATAATATTCAATTTTTACCTCCCGTTGCTTGAAATTCTTTGTTTATTTTCCGGTAATTTTTTTGTTTGGTATTGAGATCTCCCATTACTCTTCGAAAATCGATAGCCAGGCAATTCGTGCTATCAGGGCAACCACCTGCCTCGTGACGCCCAACAAAAGACAACTGTTTTGCATGTCACGAGCAACAAGTGCAGAAATACCGGTTATATGATGATGGTAGGGGGTGAATTCCCTCTTTTCTCCCCTATCGTAAATGACTACCTCAAACCAATTGCCTGAAACAAATCAAAACTAACAAAATACTTGAAACAAAATCCCACTGTACATGAAATTTTTTTTTTTGCGAAGTCCGCCAATTAGACACGATGAAATCGTCTTTCCAGGGATGATTGTGAAGAGTGCAGAGGGAATCCGTCGGAACTGGCTTCTCAGATCCATTGACTTTGTCGTCTGTCGACAGTAACGAATCCATGAAGATCAGAATAATATTAGCCACTGCGGGCTAAATTAATAATGGGAATAATTCAGTAGCGAACTGGTAAACCGGTTCAAGTCAATTTTGACTATTTGCCAGTTTTCAATGAATATCTTGGAATCTAAGGGAGATAGCAAAATTTTTGTTACGACCTTTTCCGTAGAGCCAATTGAGAGCTATAACAAATGTGATTACGAAAATTTCGCTATCTCCCTTAGATTTGGAAATATTCCTCAAAAACTCAACTGGAGATTAGTCGACTTAAACTGTTTTACCACTTCACTACTGAATTGAAAACTCCGTCGAGGTAGATGATATTTAATATCGAGTTATCGAATTATCTCGCCCAATCCATCACGGCATTGTCGTAGAGAATATGAAATTTTACCCAAAAATTACTCGATTCTGAAATAATCAATATCAAGTTTTTACGGTTTACCCCTTCCCTACATAAATGATTCATCACCGTAATTAACTGAATATTGTTAAATCGATACTCATAATCCTCGCTGTTCGAGTGGAGTTGAAGGTGACATTGAGCTTGAGTCATCAATCATATTGAATGACACCCTATGAAATCAAAGTCTTCTTAAAGAAATTGAATAGAAATGCCCTCAAACATATTGATTCCTTCTTGAACTCCTCAGGATTGAATATTTGAAGAAGTGATGTAAATCGTTACGAACAGTACCTAAAGAATTATTTTGTCAACACATTTGTATTTCTGTAATTTTTTTATAGCAGAAAAATAGTGACAGAGTGCTTATCAACTTTTCTTGCGCCCTTGAATCGCCGGTGGATAGCGCGCCTTTTACCTTCAGCGAAGCAAAGTTCAACCTTCAACAGTTATTCAATATACCATATCAAATGGGCTATCCACAATGTTTTGAGAAACATTGACTGAAGCTTCATAAACATTTTCAATGTCGGTCTAGTGAAAATTAATTGATTATAAACAGCGAGGAAAACGCGGCTAATAAACGTTTTAAATGAGCAGTTTTTGATTCTCACTCAAAAAATAGGACGTATTGTTTTAAAAGTGTATGAATGACCGATTAATCGACTATTTAGGGAGAAGTTGGACGCGGGTAGTGGGGATGAAACAACCAGAGGGAAGCCGCATTCGTTCAACACCTCAATTCAGTAGTCAAGTCTGTTCTGTCCAGGCGCAGTGGCCAATCTCTAGGTAAACTTCGTCCAACTAAACTCACTATTTTATCAAACCCCAATTAATAATCAAATGCTACCTGACACGAATATAAAGTGCACTGTGTACACGCAATTGGATTAATCTACTGATAAATTTATTGATAAATCCATCGATTCTCGAATAAACCATTTAAGTGATTTAACACTCGTGTTTTTCTCCGCACTGTGTATGACCGCGTCATCACCTGTTCCAGTGTGTTATGCAATCGTGACATCATCTGAATAATTCATTATTCTCCTGTTGACACTTGACAGGTTGAAGAACAACAAAAGGAGACGTATTTTTTTTTTTGAGACGTAAATTGCAGTGGAACCTATTTTTCGCATTTAGAAAATCAAATCAACAAATTTTATGTTCTTAATAATTTTGAAAAAATTCCAATACTGTTTTAATATTTTAATTTTTTATTGTCAGGGATTTATTTTTTATTTACAGTGGGTTTGTTTTTTACACTTTGAGGTCAATGAATTGTTAAACAATCTCAGTAAACACGTACATGAGTGCCTTATCTGATGATACCTGCGCCCCAACGCTACTATTTTCTAAATGCTGTTCCCCCTCAGCTCATGACAGACAAAACAAACATTCCATAAATAAATAATGCGTTGAAATTGAGTACGCAGTGGAATACCTAGGGGTAACTCTCGGCAATACAGACAGGAGGGTCCTCCCATTTTTTTCTCCTCATTGCGTAGCGCGCAATGAGGATCAATAGAACACATGCGCTCTCCGCATGCCCAGATTTTCTTCCGTCACAAGCTCCAGAGTACCTAGACACTACAGCTGTTGTCATATACAAACCCGTCATCAACAGATTTAAGTTGAGAGTCCCAATAGAAACGGAGTGAAAACTACAAATCAGTAGTGAAGCGGTAAACCGAGTTAAGTCGATTTTGACTATTAGCTAGTTTTTGCTGAATATTTCGGAATCTAAGAGAGATAGCAAAATTTTTCTCATAACTTTTTTTATAACGCTTTATTGGCTCTACAAAAAAGGTCATGACAAAAATCTTTCTATCTCTTCTAGATTCCGAGATATTCGTCAAAAACTAGCCAATAGTAAAAATCGACTTGACCCGGTTTACCGCTTCGCTACTGAAATCTTTCTTCGAAATAAAAAAAAAAATTTTTGGGTGAATTCCGAAGTCATTTACTTTCATTCCAAGGTTTTTAGAAGTAATTACCCGTTAATAGAGTCAACGAACAACTCACGTAATTCATCTATTTATAGATATGAAATAATCGTGGCCTTCGTAGCCCAGTGAGAGCGTTAAATCATTTTCTATTTCCGCTTTGCGTGCGTTTGAAGCTTAACGATTTTTTGTGCCTCAATTCTTCAGGCAATTATGGAGGGCGAAAAGCCGACAAATGGTACCAGTAACTCCGTGGAGAATGTGAGTAGTGAGATTGCAAATGTGAAAATTGAAAATGGAACGGAAAAGTCTGCACCCGGAAGTCCATCCCCCGGATCGGGGACGGGAACGGCGGCGGCGGGGGCTAGTGTATCGATAGCAACGAATTTCAAAGCTTTTTCGAAATTTGGAGATACAAAGAGCGATGGCAAACACATTACGCTGAGCCAGAGTGATAAATGGATGAAGCAGGCGAAAGTCATTGACGGAAAAAAGATCACTACCACTGATACTGGGATTTATTTTAAAAAACAAAAGTGAGCGATTAAGAACAAAAATGTTAATTCACGAAATTGGTAAATATCAGAGTAAGGGAAAATAACATTTTATTAATCACAAATTATTTCCAGATCAATGAAACTGAGTATGGAGCAGTACAAAGCATTTTTAGAAGAATTAGCAAAAGCAAAAAAGATTGAGCTCTCGGAGATAAAAAGTAAAATGGCGAGTTGTGGACCACCTGGATTTACATCTTCAGCCGTTGTTAGTATTTGAATTCTTCTCATCTCCTTTGATTCTAAAACTGAAGGATTTTTATTCCTTCTCTCATCCGTATTGCAGGGTGCTAAAGCCGCCTCGGCCGTTGACAGACTGACGGATGTCAGTAAATACACGGGCTCTCACAAGCAGCGCTTCGACGAGACCGGAAAGGGCAAAGGCATCGCCGGAAGAAAGGATATACCCGACGCCTCCGGTTATGTGCAGGGGTACCAAAACAAAGATACGTACAAAGGGCAATAGTTCCGCCCGGGGAATCCCCCGGATTTGCCTCAACGATGAAAATTCCTGATTTCTTGAAATTAATTTTCCGTTTATCGGAGCAATAAATTGAGCCGATGAGCTCTGTTCAAGGGTTATCGTGTTGGACACGATACAAATTACGTGGCGAAGACAGTTTATGGCAATGAGCCAATTAAAGCCATCCACCCACTGAGATATTTATATTTGAATCGAGTGAGAATTATTCGAGCGAAATTCTAACTTTGCAATATCAAAGTTAAATCTTTGAAATAATTATTAATCTTTTCAATTATTTACATCAACTTTGATTATTTAGAATTAAATGCCTCTGATGATGGACTAATGGAAAATATCTTTCAACTGGAAAAAATTGTGATAAATACTGTGGAGAGAGATGATCGGGAGAATAACTTTTTGTACATTATTTCGAGAATATTTTAGCATTTTCCTGGCACAAACCCGCTGATATCAAAAATATTAGCAGAATAATTGAATTAATTTCAATACTCAAATAACAATTCTCTAGATTTGAATAAATTAATCACTGGGTGCACAATTTCCCCTCCCGAAAATGCAATCAATAATTCTCATCTGCAATCCTCAATAGCGTCTCGGAATGGTCTCGAGTCATCATTCCCCTTAATCTCCATGAAGAATGAGGCAATCACATTCGTCACGTGTAATTAGACATAAGTATCATTAACTCTGCAGGCATAGAGTATACCTTTTCCGTGATACACCTCAGTGTAGAGAACATGTTTATCAATCACACTTGTTAAAAAAGAAAAAAAAGAAACCAAAAGAATTAATGAATTGAATAAATATATATGGCACAAGGCTAGATGAGAAAAACACATTAATTTTATCGTTGTTTTCTTTATTCTCAATAAAAACGTTCGTCATTAAAAGGTAATGTGACACAATATAATTTCTTTTTCTCTCACGAATTTATTACATTTGAATAATAATCTACAAATGATACTGATAATTGTTGCCTCTTAAGCTCCGAATATTCATCATTCCATTAAATATCTACGACTCTTAAAATTCGAAACAAATACTGAAAAATGAAACGACAAAATATCTCACCTTCTCCGATACATGTGGTTTGAAAGAAAAACCAATCGAAACAGAACCAGTTGTGCTACCAGTATGATACACGATACGTTTAAATCAAATAATCTGCGTTCGATGTCCAATCGAATGAGCGAATGGAGAGCATAAAAAACATAATTCATAATTTAATTTAATTAAAATATCTTAAAAACAGTTTTTCAATTTTTTTGCAAAGCTTTGGAATAGATTGGAAGCTTCAATAATTAACAAAGTAGAGAATCATCAATAATAAATAGGTTTCAACGATATCCGCACATGCGCGTTCCCCCTCCAATCGTAAATATCGATCGAAAGGAAGTCGAACGAGGCCACATGCAGAGAGGAATTCTAAAGCTCGGTCAGCGTATCCACAGATGCCCTGAATCTCCTGGAAGTCACGTCAACGACTGTTTTGCTGCATCCCATTCCCGTGCCCTCTATCCTCGACACTACCTCGTCCTTCAAGGCGCACAGAACTCGTCGATCTTGTCGGTTGTTGACTGGAGCTATTTGTAGAGCCTCTTGAACGTCGATCAGGGCGTCTTCATAAAGTCCCAAATCGACCCTCGCCTTCGCACGAGCGTAAAAGGCCTCATAGGACGATGGACGGATATTTAAAGCCTCGTCTGCCAGTTCCACAGCTTCCTCAAACTCCTGCAGAAGACCAGAGACATGAAAAAAATTCGCAAAAAAAAGAAAACGAAAAAAACCTTAAGCCAAAATATTTACATTCATTTTACGTTTACACCTGCTCAGATTGAGCAGGAAATTGAGCTTCAACTGTGTGAAAGTTTGCAGATGAAGGATCAGATTGCTGCCCTCCTGGCTCTGCGCATCGTGGACCTGCTCAGGTGCCCCAGGAAACTTTCTCAACGCATAGGCATACCTGTGAGAAGCCTCCTTGAGCCTCTCCTTCCTGTAAAGCACATTGCCGTCCTCCAGTAATTTATTCAAGAGTATCAACAGCACATCGGGCTTTCCCTGGGCCATGGCCCACGTCGCAGGGCCCAACTTGGCACCCCTCCTCAAAAAGCACTGCACCACAGGTACATTTCTACAACCAATAGCCCTGTCCAGTGGCCTCATCCCGTTCAAATCCACATGTTCAACGGCAGCTCCCCTCTCCAACAGCAATTGCACCAACTTCGGATTCCCCTGAAACGCAGCGAGATCCAGAGGCGTCCTGCCAGTCTTGTCATTAGCTCCGATATCAGCACCGTGATCCAAGAGACACTGCACAGCAGAAATTCTCCCCCTGACACACGCCCAGCCCAATGCAGTCAGTCCCTCCTTATCGACTCCCTCGAGCACAGCGCCCTTCTCCAAGAACAAGTCAATTAAATTGGTGTGGCCCTCAGAGGCAGCAATCATGAGCGCGGTTCGTCCCATGTTGTCCCTTTGCTCGAGGAGAAGTCCCGGCACGTCCCCCTCAGCCGAACCCCTTGAACTCGACGAGTCAAACTGGAGAAGACGTTCCGCAGTCCCCCAGTGGCCCTCTCTGGCTGCCAGCATCAGTGGAGATAATTCTTTGGAATTAACAGCTGTGGGATTCGCCCCTCTGGCTAACAAAGCTGACACTGTAGCCGTCGATCCATGGGCGGAGGCAATTGTCAGGGCAGTTTCTCCAATTAACGTGTCAGCCTCGTCGATATTGACTTTGGCCATGTCCAGGAGGTACTCAACCACTGATTCGTGGCCCTGGGAGGCGGCGGCGACGACCGCTTGTTGGGCTGCTTCCTCCCGAGAGATCTCGGACGCAGTGTCTGATCTCTCAATTTGACTTTCGGAGGGGGGAATGGACCAGTCGCAAGCCAGGAGGTAACCGACCACTGGAAAACGTCCGTGGCGTGCTGCATGGACCAGCGGACACTGGCCTGCGATGTCGGCGTGGCCCAACGAGGCCCCGGCGCCAGCCAGAAGACGAACAACGTCGCAGTGGCCTCGCGACGAGGCGAGGGACAGGGCTGTGCAGCCCTGGGAGTTCGTCAGCTCGACGTCAGCTCCGAACTCCAGGAGGAGAGACACCATCTCCACCGAGCCCTCGTGGGCGTACATGCAGAGGACTGGGGCATTGCCTAGGTAATCTGTTCTGTGGTTGGGGGAGGCTCCTGCCAGCAGGAGCAATCTCGACACCTTGACGTTGGGACTGTAGATGTTGCGGAGGGTGCAGAGGGCTGAGGAGACGCACTCCGACGACGAGGTCATCCACCAGGCCTGGAGGTCTCGCGAGGGGAAGGAGGGGGTCACACCTCGGTAGAAGTGGGCTTTTAACACGTGGTGACCCAGCTCGAGAACCTTGTCACCCGCGAGGGGACACTCGAGGCGAGCCAGGCGAAACGCTATTGCTGTGTGGCCCAGGCGGAGGTCGCAGAGAAATTTCGGAGATTCATTCTCGTCGCGACGGATTAACCACTCTCTGAAGGAGGGGTGGAAAAACATGTAGGTGTCGTCCAGACGTTTCACGAGAAAACCAGAGAGCATCTGAAAATTTTTTCATTTCATTAATTTCAAGAGTTGTTGAGGAAAATCATTTTTCAGAGTCGATCATTACTTACGCATCCTCAAATTTTATTGCAGCAAAAATGATTTAATTATCTTCAACCGATTTTGTTGTTTACTAAATCTTATATTTAATGTGATAATTACCTTGAATCTCTGTAAAAATTCCTCCCATGAAACGAACTGCTCCGTATACAACGAATTAACAGAGTAGAAAATTTCCGGAAGGGTAAGTGGATAAAGGGCAGCCAGACAGACGCCAAGAAGGGGCTGGACCTTTTCGAACGAAGTGGCAGTGGGGAACCTCAGGTTAAAATGTAATTGGAATATCTGTGCTAATGATACTGGCAAAACCTGCAAAGTAATCCCAAAAAAATCCAACTCATTATAATGGCCTCGCTCCCTCAATCTGTCCCACAATAGTCGTAATAATTCACCTTATAAGACGCAGATTTAGCAACGAGATGTCCACTCTCAATGAGATCAAGCGTGAGTTTGGCAAAGAGGAAGCTGCCCCCCGCAAGTGAGAGCAGATGAGTGGCGAACCTGTTCTGATTAGCCCCGCAGGAGGACTCCTTTCCATTGACATTAGCCGTCACATTGGCCTGAATAACAGTGCTCTGCACCATTCTATGACTAATATACTCAGACAAATCCCTGCCAATGGACACACCGCTGGTGCCACTGGCACTTTTATCCAGGCAAATTCTAGTGTACGGAAAAGCCTTGGCGCACTCCCTGAGTTCGCTCCTCACAGTGCAAATAATTTTCATCCAACTGGGGAAATTGGGTGCATGTCTAGTGAGAAAGGAGGCAATGGTGTCACCCCTGTCAGGCCTGTGGTACTCGGCATCACAAATGGCATCAATTAGCACCACCATATTGACTTGAGGAAGTCGTCCAGCCTTCCTGAGAGTCAGCATTGGCTCCAGAACGCCCCTAGAGAGGGCGAGGTCAGGGTCCACTGTGCACTCTCTCTGGGACAGTGAGCCCTGCAAATGTGGCTCCGACAGCAAGTACTCCCTGTACGCAATTAACTGAGGGGCCTGGCACAGTTGGGCAGCTATCGAATGAATTAAATCAGGTACCAAACAAGTGCTGTTGTTGTCAGCCTGACAAAAGTGATAAGCAACAACGTGTGACGCTATCTCCCTTATCTTCTCATTAGTTTTTTTCATATTGATTTCAAATGTTGAGGGCGGGGGTCGCTGGCTCTGGTCGGTCTCGTCCTCATCGCACTCCGCAATTTCCGCCCTCAGGGACTGCTCTCTTCTCCTCCCAAAACAGCTGTGTTCCACCAATTGGAGAATGAGCGACGTTTTGCCTGTGCCTGGAGCCCCTGAAATGAGAATTCCAGGGCTGGAGCCCTTGATGACCTTCTCAAGCTCCTGAAGGAGCCAAAAGCGACCGGTGAACAGGGGATCTGCCTCGACCGACGGGACCTCGAAGAACAGGGGTTTGAGCGTGAGCTGCGCCACAGGATGAGACAGAAATCTCATTTTCGATTCTAGGGGCTTGGCCGACCCTCGACCGGATTTTCTTGCACAGGACCTTCGGTTCTTCAGGCCCGCATCGTCCTCGGGGTTTGTCGAGTGCTTGCGTGGGGTCAGGGGGCTGCAACTGCCGTTGGAGAGGCCCGAGACCGATACCGACATCGACATCGACATGGAAGTTGAGGCTGATATCGAGGTGGATATCGAGGCGAGGCTTCCCGCCGAATCACAGTCTTTGATTTTCGATTTTTGCTTTGATTTCCCCTTTGGTTTTATGGGGGTGCGCAGCGCTGCTGCCACTTCAGCCTCGCTTGATGTGCCTGTTAGTGTGGAGACGGGGCTGGTATTTGTCGAGGCCATAGTCTGCTGGTCGTAACTCGTTAAACTGCTGAAGGATGTCTCGTGGCATCTCGTGACGTCTGATCGTTGGGGCTGTGATGATGAGGGATTTCGATTTGAGCATGGCATGCCTGTGCTGTCCACTCCGGACGAGGTGCGGAGGTGGCCTGAGCCCAGGAGAAGTCCCAGGCGCATGTAGAGATCGGACTGCGAGGATTTTCGATTCTTCGAGGACAGTGGCTTCACACTACCTCCTTCGTCATCTGTGAAAGTTGAGAGATCGTTAGGTTTCGAAAGTATTGAGCGGAGGGAAAAGATGGGATAAATCTTGAGTCATTAGAGCTGTGGTGGTAATCAAGGCGAGGGGAACTCTTCACGATGCAACACATCATTCAAAACTGTAAAAGTGTCTGGTCATGCTGGCAAAAAAGTGTGCCTTCATTTTATTGAATTCAATTGGTGAAAATTGCTCAAATAAATTACGCAAAGAGATGAGATTTTTTTCGCAAATTGAGGGACCACGTACGGACCCCCTCTTTACGCATCTTTTGGGTGATTTATTTCAGCAGAATTCATCGATTAATAGTCAGCGCTGAAAATAGAAAACCAAACGAAAGAACACGCTGTGAGTAAAAAGCAGCCTGCCTGTTGCTCTGGTGAAGTGCTCGAGCCCCAAGATTTTGTTTTTTCTTGGCGCATTGACGAGTCTGTTGTTACTATCGGGTTTCGATCTCGGGGGATCAATGAGCTGATTTAGTCCGTCACTGGCAGTTCCTTGACTTGTGCTCCACAGGGATTTGATTTTTCCGAGTACCACGCCAGGCCAGCGAGATGTACCCTCCCATGAGGATGTCATCCAGGCTAATTGTCGTTTATTTAATCATGTGTTTCATGTGTTTCATGGTTTACTCTTAAAACTAGGGTACTAATACGAGAAGAGTCTATTGACACTTTTCACAAAGCCTGACTAGTTTCAGAGATCTCCCCTGATTGTCTTGCACGGAGAGAAATATTCAATAAAAATGACGGATTCTTTTCCGTATTCTTTTCCGTAATTCCGGAGCGAAATGTGGTTGTAGGAAATTTAACGGAACTGTCACGGAATTTTTCCAGAGCGTTCCGTAATTTTCATCTGAATCTCCTGTGAAAAATTACGACACCGTCACTTAAATTTTCTGATTCGATTCCGTAATCGGTGAGCGAGTTGTGAGTTCCGTAATTTTTACTGAATATTTCTCTCCGTGTAGCAGAATCAATTTTAGGGCATTTCGAAGACGAATACATATGATAATTTACCTGAAAGCGCAGATGGATTATCATTTCCTTGTTCCGGTGGCGGCGCCGCGCCCCTTCTCGACCTCTGGGGTGTGAACGGACTCTTCAGGCCCTTCGGACTCAAGAAGAATCGTCTCCTTTGATTGGGAGGCGTTGGGCAGCCTGGGAAAATCATTTCAAGTAATTGATAGTGCCTACTGTTGCACTATTACCGCGAAAAAAAATCAAGGCGCGATTAAGAAGGAGAAAAAACTCACTTTGAGCCATTACTTGAGCCTTGTGACGGGACTGAGAGGCAATTAACTCCGGAAGAACCGGCGGCTTGCCCTTTGGTCCCTTTCCCATCATTGATGAAAATGTGACGCTCTCCAGTCCCTGCTAAAACGAATCATAAAGACTTTGTATCTCACAAGTGCTACGTGACGGCGCTACATCGAGCAGGGATTAAATGCCGTTCTTCTGTGTTCATTTTATTTATTTCTTTCTTCTTTTCTTTTCCCAAGAGGTCTCAAACTGTGTATCGACAGCGTGAAAAGGATTTCGAGATTGAATGCATGGGCCTACACGGATTTGACAATCTCATTCATCATTTTATTTCGGTTGGAATAAATAAATGAGAAAGCTGCTAACAATCTTTCTTATTATTTAATTCTTAAAAAAAAATAAGCAAATATAATCAAATGGAATTAATTGAATGGGAAGAAAATTAATTTGTCTTCAAGTTAAAATAACTCATTGTTAAAAAAATGACCGGTAGAAAATTAAAAGCCAGAATATTCCTCTCTCCAACCGGCGAAATCTAAAAGCGCTCAAATACTGAATGAACCCACCCACGCACATATTCGCCTCTTATTCGCGATCTTTGTCACGCAGCCGTGGGTGGATGTCTGACCGCGCGGTACCCGATGGTTTCAAGAAAAAACCCGTAGGCAGTCACGAATATTTAGCATGTATGCGTCATCGATTACTTAAATATTCATTCACTCCCTGTTCTTCACCAAAAATGTAGCTTGTTATTCATGACGCTTCAAGTGACAAAATACTTGAGCTTAAATTTTAATGACACTTACATGCACACTACGATTCATGTTTCTGGTGTTTTTGGTCCTCAGTCGTGGACTCCCGCAGAGGGAGTTTATCGCCGAGACGTCGTCATTCCAGTCCTCATTTGCAATTATGGAAACTGGCTCGGAAGAGCAGAAACCAGTGTCATAATTGACAATGTCATCCTGCAGTATAACAGAATCATCTCGTCTACTTTCGTATATATTACGGCATATTGGACATGCCTCGCTACGAAATAGACACGAGTAGCATCTCTCGTGGCCACAGGAATCAATGAGTCGACGTTTCTTTCCTTTGTCGAATGGCATTTCGCATGATGGACACATGGAGCCACCCACCATGCCGGTTGACTCCACCAGTGCGCGAATTTGTGCCAAATCTGAACAATAAATTACAAATAAAGAGATTGAGTAGAATAAAAAAGGCATTTTATTGTCGAAAGGTCAAAGGGTCAGATGCTGATGTTGGTCTGCACGGAGGATTATAATTCCCTCCTCGACTTCTCACGATAGCATCGCCCCACCACTCCACTCTCTTCCGTAATTTATGATTTACGATTGAAAAAAAGGGAGGAGGCAGTGGTTCTTTCGTAGGAATAAGCCAGTTGGATAGAATATGAACATTGCTGTGTTCATGGCTTTCCGCGTGATCCATAAAATCCCGGAAGAGCGTATTTACCATTTATCGAACACTCTTAAGCTCGGTGTATTGCTATCTAGCACGGAATGGTGTAGGCCAGAGAGGTAGGTGTTCGATCACCAATACAGAAATAGAATGAAGACTCGAAAGGAAGACGTAAAAATATTGCAAGTGTGGGATATTTCAATATTTTTTAAAGCCATAATTACTGAGAAGTAATAATTCTTTGATTGAGAAAATGAAGGTATGAAAAATGTCGAATGATCAATCTGGCAGTGAGTATTTGAAAAATGAGACTGGAAAAAATTTGTTGACAATGGAATGAGGATTTTGCGAGAATATAGTGTTCACAAAAATCCATAAACCACTGCAACTGATCGAAGTGCAACGCAACACAAAAGTACATGTCTCATTAACTATTTTGCTGGGAGGTTTCATTGGGTACATTCGAAACACGCGCGGTTCTGAGTGGCTGTAAAAATAAACGTGATTTCATCTACTTGCCCATAACTTTTATGTTTTATCGGCTTGTGTTACGTATTAACCGTGTCAATAGACGGTATTACCATAGATTGCGAATTAATGCACAACCCTGGAGTGTTCACACGGAGCTCAAATACACTGTACCTCCAGTGAATCGACAATTTCCCTCAAGGTTGGGGGCATATCTCTCAATGGAAAAATACTTCTGTCGCCTGTCGCAAGAAAACTATTTGTTTCACGTTGAAATCTAAAAACTGGGACGAGAGCGAATATGTAAATGTCTCGATATCCAGTAGGAAAAGTGGCTGTAAACATCGACAAGTTCAGAGAGTTTTTCTGTAATTGAAAGAATTCGAAAAGAGAGAGTGTCCCTCGGCATTTTTTTCGGAAATTATTCATTCCCACGATAATAAGGTTACCATTTCACGGCTGAATTCCCTTGTCTTATTCTCTGTAATCCTTCTTGTCTACATTTTCATCGAAAAAACATGTTTTTTGTTCAATTCAGTGATTTGTTTCATGCAGCGTTTGTCCATCCTAGAGAGAGTAATTGCCTCAGCGGTAATATTCTTTTCTACCTTCAACCAATAAAAAGCAGATCGCCCAGAGACCATTGTTGGAGCGGAAACGAGCGGACAGGTGGATTATAGAAGTTTTGCCCCCTTTAGGTGGTTACCGGCTATGTATCTTGGCCGTCTATAGGTAATCGCGTTCTCGCTTGACTGGGCGGGCATCGAGCAGTATTTTACAGACTTGCAGCTTTGTTGTGAATTGAAAGTAAGAAAAATTGATAAATCATAGGGCATACGCCAGAGTACTTCTGAGACTAGTTTTTGCGGAACGTTGAAAATGAAATGAAATTGAAAACCGCGTAATTATTCCGCCGCACGGACAGAAATATTCAATAAAAATTACGTATCTTTTCCATAATTCCGGAGCAAGGTGTGATTGTAGGAAATTTTACGGAACTGTCACGAAATTTTTCCAGAGCGATACCGTCACTTAAATTTTCTGAGTCGATTCCGTAATCGGTAAGTGAATTGTGAGTTAGACAATTTTTACTTAACATTTCTCTCTGTGCGCAAAAATATTTTGTTAACAACTCTTTTTGTGCACCCAGTGGCAATGCCGGATGAGACAACTTTAGCCAATAGCATCTTGCAATTTATATCGGCCCTGGGTGTGTAGGTAGAGTCTCTCACCGAGTACATGGGCAGGTAGACGTGTCCGCGAACGAGTGCGTTGACCGAGAAGATCTTACGGTAACTTCACCATCAACTACACCAGTGCCAAGATATAGTTGCACCTGCACTTACAAACGATCACAGGCATACAAACACTCAAACTTACCGGGATGAGGTCGTGTGCGCGACCCGAATCCGAGCCTGTGCACTAGCTTTTTTCGCACCATTTCGCGATCACGATATTTTCTGGTGCGTCGACATGACGAGGGACTGGGATGACCTGTTCCAAAGTCCATTTCAGTCCAAAGTCAGACCTCTTGCAGCGAATCTTGCAAGTGTTTTCGGTAAATAAACTGCGTATGCGTTACTATGTTATCCTCGAAATTGGAGGATTATTAATTTAAAAGCAAAACTTGTGCCGAACAACAACGATTTTCGTCTCGACTGCACTAAAACGCGCACACAGCATGATAATTCCTGCACAAAGGCAACTCATTCCTGCCCGCCGTAAAATTTTTTCCCTGTCCGTCCAACTGCGTAATGATCGTTATTTGATGCTTCAGCAAACCGAAGACGTAAAATTCCTCCTGATGAGGAGTAAGGAAAGGGGCCGAGGCACTCTACCCACCATGTGGTCGCCAGTACATATAGGTAACCAAGGCGCACATATTTCAATCGATATCTAGAGTGCTCTTTCGAGCAACAACACTCGTAAACACTTGGAATTTAATTCGTACCATTAGCGATTCCTCTTTTATTCAATTGGACTTTTTTTTTATTTCTCTCGCTGATGTGTACCGGTTAAAAGTGAAGCTACTTATTGCTGGAACATATAACTCTAAACATTCATTGCACGTAGAAGGTAGATAAGACGATGGAGATAAGATGAGGCGCCGTGGTATTGCGTTGTCTGGATTTGAGGTAGTGGGGATGAAAAAGAGAGATAGGAAGCTCAGATTAATCCAAAGAACCACGAGGGATTCCAAGTTTATAGGTCTTCCGTGTGTTTTCTCTCTCTCTCTTCATCCGATTTATGCTTCAAGCCCAGATTATTTTTTTCTCCCGTTTGAGAACTTTCCGGGGCTTTCACGAATGCATTTCAAACGTTTGTAGTATGCCATTCTCTTATCGTACGCTCGTAAAATCAATTGATATTTTTTAGAAAGTTTGCTCAAATTTTACATTAATATTATGGATTTTTTGTAGTTAATAATGCGTGAAAATGGCCGTAAAAATATTATATGGCGATAAAAAATTCAAGTTTGAGTGTAATGTTGAAATTGTCGAGAATATTTAAGAGACATTTTTTTACTAATGTAATACTGGAAATATTCCGAAAACCATCAACTGATTGAGACTTTCAACTTTGAAATACTTGGATTTGATTTGTCGCTTGTAAATCACCTTATTGAAGAACCCATCTGTGGGATAAATCATTGATCGACATCACTTGACACTGGTTCACTGCCTCGACCCGAAACTCGTCAAGCCAAATAGTTGTGCACGATGATTTTCCAAATACACACTGACATTTACCAGCAGTTAATGTCTGATCCGCACTCCCCCCCGATCTCGTCGTTTAACTCTCTTTAATAACATCAATTGTCGCTGACTAAACGATCACAATTCATCTAGAATTAAGGAGAAGCCTTTGACAGCTATATGGCAATTCGATCCGCATCCACGCCTCTGCGTTCCTTGTGGCTTTCACGGTTTAATTTCAACCGCAGTGTCGGATGATGCGATCAAGTTGAGTAATAAGCGCATTGACGGACACTTTGCTGCACAGGTTAAAAAGAGACAGATAATCCGGTGGATGTTTCGGATATGAGACCACTGAGGTGAATCTCAAATCAGCAGAATTATTTCGCTAAATACCAAGGGTTGTGCTTTTGTAATTAATTCTGGCTGTCAATGATACGATTAATGGAGTTTTCTCTGCACAGTTCTTGTTTCCATTCCTATTAGGCTTTATCACTTAATCTACGAAATAATTTATGTGTTCAACTCGGTCACAGGGGGATTTAATGAATACAAGTATTATGATTGTTTATCCAATTGAATGAAGGAAAACACACGCTCATTCTCCGTGTAATTCATATTATTCGGTTTGATTCGCTGAGCAATTTCTCTTGTGATCAATTCAAGTCCAACTACTGTATCAGATTGTTTATATTTTCTGGATTTCGAAAGACAGAGTGAAAGATATTATCAATAATTAGAAGTATATTACCACAATTAAGAGAAACATATTATATTATGACAATTCAAAAAAATATTGTTTGTGTCGATCTTTCATGTAGTCTCGCTATTGAATGCCTTATTCTGTAGAATATTATTTCTCTTGTGGAAATTTGCGACTGTGAATAATCCGCTTTGTTAGAATCGTTGATAATGCTTCAAATTACGAGTGATTGACGTGATGAATAATAACACGACGTGTGGATCATTACGTACATCTAGCTACAGATTTTCAATCATCAAAGGGATTATCTTATCTCTTACTATTTCCGGAATTAGTTTTCAACGACAAACAAACTGACGGGTATTCAGACAATTGAAATGAATTATGAATCCTTAAGTTGAGAATATTATTCGCAATTCGAGGAGAATTTCGTTGCAAAAATTAAAAGAACAAAATTTGTTATCTACTTTCACTTCTCAATTTACGATAAAATTTCGCATGGGGAAATTGAGAGAATTAAAATTCTGCCAAAAAAAATCCCAAACGTTTAATTTGGACGAGGAGTAGAATATGAATAATAACTAATGTTAAATTTCGGGAAAACACTGGTATATTAGCGCTCGTAAACATGCCAGTGCGTTCAAGGCTCGTCTATACCTGCAGCAGCCCCCCAAAGGTGTCAAGTATACTTTGACATAATTTTATCTGTCTGGCTGGGAAAGACCGGTCCGATTGTGTTGGAAAAATCCTCATTCAACCTTCCAACGAAAACACGAAAAAGCGATAAACCTGCGGCCCCAACGAAAAGGCCCCGCTGCGAGGGGCCACCCTAAAAACTTTTCCTGACCTGCTGCGCCTTCCCAGGGATTTACGCATGTGTTTTTGTGAAGAATAGAGAGTAGTGCTCCCTTCGGAGACCTCTTGCCCCCACGTGAATAGTGAGTTCTAGCTACGTCTCGCTGAGGCCGAGGCTCCTATTCTCAGAAAACCCGAGCAACTTGTAGTCTCCGTGAGAAATTTCAGGTTCGTTAACTCTTCGACGCGCAATTGAAGGAGCAAGAAATTCTTCTTTTCTAACCGAAAGCGGAAAACGATTTTTTTTCAATGATTTTTCCGTTATCAAGTGATTTTTAATTACGGAAATATGCTTTTACTTAATTTGAAAATATTATCCAGTGAATTGTTCAAAAGTTCGCTTCACAACCTTGAAGAAACAACGAAATAAAATGAGATAAAAAAAACAACAACAATTACAATGAAGAATAAGAATTAAAAATTTTTAAAATTAAAATCGAAGAGGGAATGAAAGGTGAAGGAAATCGTGACTCTCAATCAAGAGCTTTCACTGGCCAACAAGAGATTTTATTCTGAGAGATCGATCCTCGTATGGCTCTCAGGCGTTTCAATTCGTCACGTGCCAATGGCAATCGATATATCCATTTCCGTATTTCGATTGATATCAAACCATGAAGATTGCCTTCATTCTGTTCGCTTATTATCCTCCTCAATTTGTGTCCTCAATAGTTATTTATTTTTTATACTTAAAAATTTAAACAACTTTACCAAATTTTCTAATTCTTTTTTAAAAAATTTTCCGCATTTCGTTATTCTCGCCAGATGATGTCGATTCAACGTGAGATAATAAGAGATTCTTAGAGTGGCTCAGGTTTATTCATAACACTTTTTATTTCATTCTATTTATTTTTTATTTTTTTTAAATATATTCATGTCAATTAATTAAATAAATGGATGTATTTTGGCAACGGGAATAGGAGCTCTCGAGACAATACTTCCATTCATGAATATTTCAAGGCAGAGCAGCAAAAAATACGGATTTGTTGGTGCACCCGACGAGCCTCTAGTGTTATGTCGTTACGTGGGACAAGTGGTTGGTCGAGTCTCTCAAGCAAAAATCACAGATCTCGGCTATTATCAGGGACTACAGTGAATAAAATAACAACACTTGAGACGCAGTATGTTACGCGTTACGCTCCGAAAAGCAGTGTGTCAATTATGCCATTTAATTGAGTGCAACAGGTGGCTCGTTTCAATGCGTCTTTTCATGTGAAAAAATGAGCTTCAATACTTTTAATATAAACATTCCTGTCTCATGATACTGGAAAAACAACAGCACAAAACTAGTTGATTATCAGTTGAACACGTGCTATATCCTGCTGGTTCATTGCACAGTTCTAAATGACCTAGACGCGTTACTTTTTATTTCGTTTTCATTACACCGAGAATGAAAGTTGTTGAAGCCCTGATAAAAATGTTTTTCATCTTTTTCCTTTTATTAATGATTTGAGAATATGCAATGAATCACTCAATTATTAAGTGGCGTTCGGCGTTTTATGGGATATTCCCAACAAGTTTTCGAGCAGAAAAGGTGAACAAATTCCTCGCTGATTGACCAAATAACGAGTCCCGGAAAATTGGTCGAACTGATTGAAAAAAAACTTGAAATTATTTCCCTTTCTGTTTCCGCTTCCCTCGGGAAATTTTCCCTCGGCATTTACTGCCACCTCACAAATAAAACCCCCAGTGCCTGAAACACCTCCACTGAGTGATTCCCTCTCGGCTCTTCCCCCTCAACCGCTAATAAAAACCCCCCAGAATACCACAGTGCAGTGTAACCTCGGTTCACTCAAAGAATTCAGCCTGAAGAATGCAAACCCATTCCCCCCACCCTCTGCAGGGAGCATCTCAAATAAAAACCCTCTCCCAGTTCTCCGAAGCATCCCATCCGATCGAAACTAATGCCCGTCACCTCGACTTGCAGCCGTAATTGTATTATTGTTAGTCACTAATCCAATCCCCCAGCATATAACACATTCGAGGTGCATCATCCTCACTAAGAGGCGCCTCATTGTCGGCTTCAATCTCCGTAAACTCTCTCTTCCCTTTCCTAGCCCGTAAGCACTGTATTCAAAGAGATCCTCCGGTATTTTCTCAAGTTAAAGTGCGACCGCACAATCGGTGGGAGATAACTTCTCCCAGCGCACAAGAAGTGATGAATATTTCAGGCAAATTGAACAATGCACTCAAACTCACCGAGGACCGAGTGACTGAAGCCAGCACCCGAGCGCGGAGGAGGAGCTGGTGAGCATCTTGTTATCCTGTCTGGAGGCGCCATAGCCCCGCTTTAACTTAATACGTATTCCCACTAGGTCTGTACTTGCGGCTTATTTTAATCCAACAGCCCTGCAGTCAGCACGCTCATTCCATGTCTCCACGTCTCTCAGATCACATTCAGTCATGTCTCCCCCGACAAAACTTAATTAATCTCATTAACTTTCATCTGTTTATCGATAAATAATCATCGCACTCTCCTCCCCAAATTCACTCGCTTCACACCACAATAACAAAATTACGAGGATGAAAATAGCAATTCAATGTATCACCACATTTGAACCGAAACAATGGCTCAGTACCTAGTGAGCGTGATCCATGTGAAATCAAGTGGATTGACATGATGTCATCGACGCCGGATAATTAAAATAAAAAGGGTGGAATGCCCGAGGTGTACAGTGAGGAGGCCCACGGTGAACTGTTAGATTTGCTGAGAGCTAGCTGAGTGAACCCAGAACCCGAGGAGCAATGGAGAAGCGTAAAGCCTTTACTTCTACTGGGGGGACTGACGGCTGATTGGCTGTGAGGTGAACTCTGGTATAATGCCGTTTGTGAGACAGAGAAAGACCCACCATCTGACCGTCTGACTCGAGGGGGGCTTGGGCCACTCTCGAGCGACTTATGCACTGGTGTTTGTAGCCCCTCCACCCGCCCCCCAAACCCCCCATCCCCCTCACTTCGGGATGCGACTTGCAACCAGTGAGGCTTATTCTTGCACACTGGTACCAATACTGCATACACGCACTCGGGCAATAACGAATGAATACAAGTGCCAATTGAATGCAATGGTTCTGCTTGGTTTATTCATCGGCCGATGGTACAGCAAAAAACTTCACCACAAGGATGAAATGGTTTGCAATATTTTTAAATTAACCATCCAGTTTTGTCGATTAGTTTGTTTTATTGACTCAACGATGAGTCACGTTTCTTGTTTCCTTATCAGTCATGTTTGATGACATTTAACGGTCATCAACTGCACTTGAACTCCCATCGAATTGGCGAATAAATGGAGGAACATCGGGAAGAGGTAAAATACCCACGCTCTTTCGTTTAATTATCCGCATCCTGCTCCAAAAAGGGCTATGCTATATGTATTCTCAATTCATGAGAAAACACCGAGTGTAGGCTCTCTCGCGTGACGCCTTTACACGAAATCTCTCACACAGGTGCAACCAGACCGATACCTAGCAGTCGTTCAACAACCCAAAGTGGGACTTCCGTTAGCCGTATCACTTTCAGTTTAGTTGACACTAGTCAATGAACAAAAGAAACGTAAAAATATGAGAAAAAAATTGAGAATTATGGAGAAGATTGTGCTGTCCATTCGCCCCTATTTTACTTCCTACCGGTTTTACCTACACGAGAATGTGGCTTGGCTAACTTGTACACACTCGTGTGGGCCTTGGTGGGGCCCTTCATTCATAATTTTGTTCTTAATTTTTATCCAAAAATCTCCTATTGTGATTATTATTCACCAAACGATTGAATTCTTTATGAGATAATGTCACGAGGAAGGGGAAAAAGTATATTTTCAACACTTTTTCTAGTCAAATTATTCGTAATTGAGGTGATTACAATCACATCGATCGCGCAATGAAGTTGCCACAATTATTCACACCGAATCAAGAATAATAAATGAAAAAAAATGCGAAAGAAATCGAAAGGCGATGAAATTTCAACGAATATTTTTATTCTCCTATCGATTCTCCAAGTGTCCTCAGTTCTTTTGACGAGGCATAAAATATACGTAATTTGATTGGCAATTCTTTCTCACCGAGCCCATAACACCACTGGGTCAATTATTTTCATATTAATTCAGAGGTGAAATTTTGGGTGGTCCTGGGTGATCAACGTTGACATTCTGTGGTATTACAGCCTTGTATATGGGACAGAATACGGTGGCTCGTTATTATTACCTTCAGTGTTAAAGGATCCAGATATTTTCTCCCTCTCTCTCATTCTCTCTCTCTCTAGATGCTGGAGGTGAGTGTGGATACTGGTTTCACCACACGAGACGGGTTAAAAAAGTCGTGTGGAGGGGCAGACGGGGCTTTTTCTCGCAGGCTCGTGACGATGAATTTAAGCGTCTGGTAGTCTCAAGGCCCGAGTGGAATACACCCAAGGGGGTAGCAAAAATCACTTAGATAGTTTGTATTCAAATAGCGAGAAAAGGAGAGTTACCGCGCACGGAGAGAAATATTCAATAAAAATGACAATGATTCAATAAATGATAAAATGTGTATCTGTTCCGCAATTCCGGGACAGATACGATGCGGAGATGCGGAGCGTTCCGTAATTTTTATCTGAATCTCCTGTGAAAAATGACGATACCGTCACTTTAATTTTCCGAGTCGATTCCGTAATCGATGAGTGAATTGTGAGTTCCGTAATTTTTATCTGAATCTCCTGTGAAAAATGACGATACCGTCACTTTAATTTTCCGAGTCGATTCCGTAATCGATGAGTGAATTGTGAGTTCCGTAATTTTTATCTGAATCTCCTGTGAAAAATGACGATACCGTCACTTTAATTTTCCGAGTCGATTCCGTAATCGATGAGTGAATTGTGAGTTCCGTAATTTTTATCTGAATCTCCTGTGAAAAATGACGATACCGTCACTTTAATTTTCCGAGTCGATTCCGTAATCGATGAGTGAATTGTGAGTTCCGTAATTTTTATCTGAATCTCCTGTGAAAAATGACGATACCGTCACTTTAATTTTCCGAGTCGATTCCGTAATCGATGAGTGAATTGTGAGTTCCGTAATTTTTATCTGAATCTCCTGTGAAAAATGACGATACCGTCACTTTAATTTTCCGAGTCGATTCCGTAATCGATGAGTGAATTGTGAGTTCCGTAATTTTTACGGAACATTTCTCTCCGCGCGACCCACGGGAAAATCTTCCTTGATTGGTTCTCTGTATATTTGATGAAAGATTCTTCCCTCTTGATGGACTGTATCTTTCCGCACAAAATCATCATTATTATGGCTCATTCGGGGCATGTGTCTGGGGCATCTGCACCCGCTTCGGCTCCGACTCTACCTGTTCCCTCTGAAGGATAAAACTCATTGTCAGTGTGCGTGCCGAACGACAGCAGCCACGCAGTCCAGCGGATGCGGGTGGGCGGACCGGGATATCTCTTCGTCTACGGTTATATACATGCAGAATAAACCACAACCGACGTATGCAGCTTCGTGTACAGACATCAAGTCTTCCAGAGCCACGGCTGTAATTAAACGTCCAACTCGCACGATACAGGAATTAAAGTTTTAAGGGGGAAAAAAGAAAATGTAGGGGCGCAGGTAAACGGACGGGGGAAAACAGATTTTTTTCAGTTTAAGGAAAGACAATTGCATCGAATTAATTCATTCAGTTTCTACAAAAATAAATAGATTAATTTTTTTATCGATGAACTATCGCAATCAGTAACGGATGTAAAAAGGATTTCAATTATCCTTCAATTCCTCTCAAATCCCACTTGACTCATACTCGAAGTTTAATGGGAGACTCCAAGTGCGAAACATTACACATTTGCCAATTGGTGTAAATGTTGAGATTACTGGCTGTGTGTACGTACACTCGAAAAATTATTCGGTGCACGCTACCGAGCAACGTGCGTTACGCTTGTAAATCATCCGGACAACTTTCACGACTGGAGTGTTATTCGCACGGAGGAGCGGGGGTATGAAAAAAAAGATATACAAAATTGTGCAAAAGACGAGGTGAAAAAAAAAATAGGAATAACGCTAAAGAGTGAAATGAGAACTGTCGTATCCTTTTTATTTTCATTGCGATCTCCTCTGCGGCTGGGAGACCTCTGCGACACGTAATTGCAGGATTTGAGGTCACGAAGAAGTAAACAATTTATAATTTTTTCACAATCACGTTAAAGTCACGTAATCAATTTTTTCCATTCGCGATTAAATATTGAGGAAGAATATAAAAAACTCATGTTATCGTTTCATAATGGAGAATTACAACATGAACATGGCGGAATACTATTCATTATTACGCGACAAATTAAGTGTATGCGATTCTGGAGGTGGATGCCAACCAATGGAGGAGAGACTAGCAGAAGGGGATGCATCGGAACTCTCCTGGAATAAGTGTGTAGAGTGCGCGTGAAGGAAGCCGCTGTGCATACGGGTGTAGAGTAAAAGAGAGCCTTATATGGCTTACCACGCGCAAGTGATCCGGACAGAGAAGGGGCAGGCGGGCGGAAGAATGAGAGTCTGTCTGCCCCTCGCTCGGTGCATATCCACTACAGGTGTACCGCCGAGGTTCTCATAGAATAAATACAATTGAGCAATTATCGAATTAATTTTTGCCGCAGAGTCAAGTCCAAGTCTAAAGAATTTTTCGAACATCGAAGATGTTTCACAACTGATTTTTTAAATGTCAGCCTTCGTTTACTCTAATGATAGTGGCTTTTAAGATAAAAAATGGATTCATGTCTGAAACTGAGGCATCGCGCTCTATTTACTATCCCCTTGCCTCCACTTTTTTCATTCTTGCTATTCGAACACGTCATTCTACCGGGCAAGGTACCCATTCTACCACCAGTGTATGCCCGTATACATGAAGAACACCTACACCCGCAGGTAGTTTCCTGAGGTAAATATTGAAGGCCCTCCCGGGCAAATGGAATCCAAACTCGCGTGCGAGGAGGAAGGCCCGGACTCGTTCGGGATAATAAACGTGGTGAGCCCCCGAGACGTCCAAGACAGAGCAGAGAGGACAAAAACATAATACAAAAAACCGAAAATTTCCCCCCTGGCCCAGTACAGCGGAGATGCCCCAAACCGGGGAAGAAAAATAAATGGGAATGAGCATAAAAATAATAAAAGCAAAATTGAGAGCAAGAGACCACTCGACAAAGAGAGAAGAAGAGTGAGAGAGAGAAAAATAGAAGAACACGTTTGGGGCTCTACACAGAGTCAGGTTTCAATTCTCGTCCTACCGGCTTCCAGTTCCCACTGGTGCGAAGATGCGTCGCAGATCGTGTTGCAAGAAAACGAGCAAAAATATGGTAAAATGAAAAAGTGTGTTTAATAAGTAAAAGCAAAGGGAAAATAACCAGGATAATGCTTTTTAACAGGATAAAAAAAATCCTCATCAAATAGTTTTAATCAGCTCGTTCATTAAGGACTTCAGGAGAATGAGATCAATCGGACTGATTTCTCTCCCATGGACTCATCTCTTATTCAACCTCAACTCATGTTACAATCATCATTATTATTGTCGTAGAGAATCGCACGCCATCGAGAAGAGAGCATGTGAACTCATTAACCAGATGAGTCTCACATGCCCACGAATGTGTTAACAAAATTATTTATTTACGGGACTTTTTTACAGAAATTTCATTCACTGCTTAAAATTTTTCTCTCAAAGCCAAA